TTCTACCTCTCCAGGATGAGCCTACCAAATTTTGTCCTTTGAGCTTCATCCTCTGTAAATGGGCAGTCTTTTGCACACACTGTGAAACATCTATACTAAGATTAAACTATCTACACTCAGATACTATGTGGCTATATTACACTTGTAATAGGTCATATTACAATTTGGCTTTTGTTTTATTATTTACGAGGTGATTTTAGGTGTAAACTGCTGCTTTATAAGTGTGTTTAAATTTTGCTGAGGGTGTTCTACCTGAGGGCTACAATAGTAGAGTAAGCTTTAATGCTTATGGGAATAAAAAAGTTACTAGATCCTTTCAAAGGTGAATAAAAAAAGATTATTTGACCCTAAATATGATGAAAAACTCTTATGTAATCTACTTTACAGAAAGTGCCCACTGTAGTTTGAGTAGTGTTTGGCACCTGGAGCTTCAAAGTTGGCCTTTGAGGTGGGTTGTGAAGGAGACCAAAAATCCAGGAAAATACTAGCTGTTTCAGCTTTCTTTGGTTAGAGACGATATTGGCCCTAATTCCACGCTGCTTTCTGTAAAAGATTTCTGAGAGTATATTCTTAGAGGGGATAGAACGGGACATAGTAGTTCCCTCCTGTCTTTTGAAAATCATGGCTCTGTGTTTCTGGGGCAGTGGGTCTTCTGACTCCCTAAGTGGTGGGCACGAGGAATGGAAATGCGTGTTGCTGACTCGCTCAGGGCTCTGCCAGGCGCAGGGGAAGCCTTAGGACTGAAGCAACAAGATGCAATCCAGCAGAAATCCTGCTTTGATTGTAACAACAGAGCAGTTAACCCATAATTTACTTAAACCTTTGAGGTTTGGTTCCCAGTCATGGCCTAGGCGCCTGTGACAAGCGGCTTACCCTTGTTGGGGGTTTGTAAGCAGGTGGTCAAAGTACCTGAAAGCTCAGAGAGTATCACAAGAAGAAATACAGTTTTTCTTTCCATTTTTAAGAGATGACACAGTCCATTTTTTTTCCCTCACATGTGCATTTGGGCAAGACAAGGTGAATGAGCAATGGCATCGGTCAGCTTCAGTAGTAGCTTGCAGAGGGGTATTGGAAAAGGTATTTGACTCTTTTTTTTTTTTTTTTTTTTAAATGTGGTTTTAGGTTTGCAGTGGTCATGAACAAAGGGTGCCTGACAGTCTGTGCAGATCTGGTGTTTGAATTGTTCAGTGAAGATGGGGTTTGTAGAAGGCTGTTGTATTGTCAAGACCCGCTTTCTGTCTTTGATCCTAATATTTTACTGTAATTCTCTGTAGCATTACTTGTATCCTCCCTGATATCTTTAGTGGGTAAGGATACTTCACACAAAAGTGTTCTTTGTTTCACAGGCTTGATTTATTCACAGAGTAAGCACAGGAGGGTCCTGTAAGGAAGATTATATATATAGAATTTTCATAGAGTGCTTCCAGAAGGAGTTCGGGTTAAAGTCATAGACAGCTTTTGGTGAAGCATTTATAAATGGATTCTAAGAAGTTAATTTTCCTTGGACATACTCTTCTAACATAATTTCCAAATAGGACTCAGAAGTCTGAAAAACAAATAAAACACATGAACCACATCTTTCCTTCCACAGCTCCATGGTATCATTATTGCTTGGTGTGTTAGTGCCGTGGGGGAGCAGAGTATCCTTATTTCTGAAGAATTTTTTGTAGAATTTAGCTTTTAAAGGCTTTAGAGACTGCAATGCGTCTCTGCAGAGGTGACTAGGAAGTTCTCATTGCCTCAGCAAATCCAGGCAGACTTTTACTGCAGAGCAGAAAGCTAATCTTGACCAAAGAACAAGCTCTCCTCTTCTAGATTTAAGCCCCAGCTCTAAAGCTTGAAATAATTATTAGAGTTGCTCAACAAAATGCTGATGATGATGATGACATAAGCAAACACAGTTTTCATTGATGTCATTCACTCAAAATGCTGCACCGTTTTCAGCTGAAACTGAAAATTCCTGGCAGCAAAATGAAATGGCAAGTTCAGACCAAGCAATCTTGCATGGTAAGCAGGGCTAAAACTCATCTCTTCTTTCATGCTTTCAGTTGCTAAAAATATTTTTTTCTAAAATCCCACCGTCACACAGTAACTCCTGCAAATACTTACAGCAGTGGGGAGTTTCCCATTTCTGTGTGTATGGACCTGGCTCTGCTAGCTGCGGTCAGTCGGTTGTAGCTCAGCTCTGCCAAGGCCCTTCTCTATCATAGAAAAGACGCGCAGCGCTAGCTGAGTTTGCTCTTGAGGAGTGATGGGAATGCCTTGTTAGCCTAGACCTGGCGTGCTTATTTTTCAGGTCTTCTCAATATTTATGATATTACAGATGATACTAAAATGAAGAGTTGTGTTTTATGTATGGTGAGAAATAGAACTGCTTTTGGGTGACTGAAAGATGACCACTGCACTTCATGGGCTAACTGTGGAAATGAAGGTGGTCTTGCCAAGAGGAGAGTATGTGCTGTGGAGTGGACTAGCTGTTGCTTTATGGATACAGTTAGTAAAGGAGCTGCATTGTTTTTCAAATAAGTATCCAAAAAAAACCAACCACGAAGAAAAGCTGGCTATCTAAATGCTGAAGGCGTGTCTGCTCTTCGTTGAGTTGGCTTAGTTCATAGCCTTGAGGCTGACTGCTGAAGTAAAATTTACTTGATTTGTCAGAAAACTCTCTTTGGGTCCCCTGGGTGTTCTGGTTTATTTCCACAACAAAGGAAAATACAGAGTGCGTGATTAAGGTGCATGTTCTCATATGTTGTCCTCTGAGAGTATTTTACTGTTGGAAGACCCTGCTTGGCCACACGTGAAGAAATGAAGAATGATGGGAGCTAAAGATTGTAATGATTCCAAACGTCTGCAGGAAATACTCAATTGCGCTGTTATCACAAGTATGAATAGGCAATTCTTATGAAGTCTTGGCCTGAGTATTGGGGTTCCTTAAGGTTTCAACAGTTATGTTTATATTGGTTAAATCTTTGACCTTCAGTGGTACCTCTATTGTAAATTTTAGAAATCTGAAGCAGAGAACTTAATATTGCAGTGTGGTGATGGTGTGGTCAGTACTGTACAACAGTCAAAAAACCAACAAAGTCCATGCTCCAGGGCATTTGTGCTCTAAAAATAGAGATGATACAGTTCACATACATAATGGATGATCAGAAGATGAATTTGCTGCTAAGCAATGTAGTTAGAATACTGATGCCTTTAATAGCATTTTTCATCTAGTGTTTAAAAAATAGTGGGCTTGATATGAAGCACTCTACTTCTATATTCTGTCAGTAGCTTAAAAGGTAGTTTGTAAAGCACTTACCTCAGATAAGGTTTGAGGAATATCTTTTCTGATAATTGAACCAGTCATTGCATTTCTCATTTATTGGATTATTTTTTCCTTCTGGAGTTCTTTGGAATTGTGCCATGTTAGTGTTTCTCATAATCCTGGTTCTGTACCTGTAACACAGAAAATGAAAATGCCTTTTAAGTGGCATAAATCACTTTACATTTTATTTTTGGTGTGTACATGTACTGCTTGGAAAAAAAGGATGCTTGCAGTCTTAATGCTTTCACTCTTGTCATTCAGATTTTAATACAGGCCTGTTAGGTACCTGAGGAGTTTTACACAGAAGACAACAGTGAACAGTCTGGTCTGAACTAAAGCAGATAACATATCAGTAGCAAATAAGAGAGCCTTGAGTCTGTGGTTTTGAGTTCCCTCGGTCAGCTTGCTCTCCTGGCAGCCCATGTGAGATGCGGCTGTAGGACATAATGAAGTAACACGGATGTTCCAGGTCACCTGTTTTTAGCATAGAGCCTTTTTTAATAATGTTTACTTGATGATTTTCAAGAACAGCTGAGAATTTTTGCAGTAGGCATAACCGGTCTGGTGCTGTCAAATTGAAAAGGGTACATGAAGATATTTGGCTCTGAGATATTTTATTACTCTTCTGGCTATAAAACTGAATTAGTAAGAAGAGAGTTCAACCTGCCACAGCTTATTGCAGGGATATTTTCCGTTTCATTTTATTGCTCTTTGAGGATTTGATTTCTCGTTATGATAATACAGTTAATTAGTTGTGATGTCTCCCTAACACCAAGCCACAGTCACTGTTTTGCTTTTATGAATGTTAAACTGGTGCAGTGAAGCAGTGGAGGAAAAAAACCACAAAGGATGCATATGCCCTTTATTTAAATTGTGTGCACCTGTATTTGACAGACATTGACATTAAGTAAGCTCTGAGATGACTGATAATCATGTTAGCATGCTCTTAAAAACTTAATCCTCTTGAGCCAAGAATTGAATGTTATGGCTGGAGGTTTGTCACTGATGGGTTTGCTTTGTTTCATGATGGCGCGTTTCATCGTATAGGTTTGCTAAAGGATGCTGAGGCTGGGTTGTGTCGCTGTGCTTGCATCGCTGGGGTTCAGGCACAGAGCAACGCAGGTCTCGTGTTTCAGCAAAGGCACCTGTTCGTCTTTGATCCCGGGGATCCTGACCAGCAAAACTTCAAGTGGTTTTAATATATGAACAAGTGCCTATACATCAGTTTCGCCATGGCAACTGTTCATAGCCCATGATGAATATGACCGTTTAAAGTAGCTAAACTGAGTGAAAGAAAAGGATATGCTACTTTGTATCTAAGTTGGGGTAAAGCCTACAGACTGGCAAGTAAAATAAGCTCTTTGAAAGTGCTAATGGTGAGGAGTCTTAAATCAGATGCAGGTGTCCTTTCCCCTCTCCCTGGTCGCCTGTAACAGCCTTCTTCCTTCTGATTAGCCTTTGGGCAGCAGCGTGGTTTTGAGTTACCATAAACTTCTTGTCATACTGTACCTGATACACTGAGAGTTAATAATCTAGGTAATTTCAAATTTATTTCTTTTGTGTTGGTACTCTTTAAAAAAAATTATCAAGGTATATGCATTGTTTCAGTGTAGATTAAGAAAAATACCTACTGCTTTCTTTAGCACAACCCTCTTTCTCAAGCCACTCTTTTCCCTGGTGTTTCCTGCAGGTGTTCCGCAAGGATCTCATTAGTGCCATGAAACTACCAGATTCTCACCATGTCAACCCTGATGAATATTATATCTTTGCGGACACGTGGAAACAAGAATGGGAGAAAGGGGTTCAAGTTCCAGCCAGTCCAGAAACTATTCCACAGCCTTCTCTCAGGTAATGGCGATCAGACACAGATCACGTGCACAAAACGTCAACTTAGAGAAGATGGTCTCTCAAAAATAGGTTGTCTAAATGCAGTCAGCTTTTCTGTGTTATTATATTTAAATCTCCAATGCAGCAGCCTTCAGGCATGTTCTTAAACCGAACAAGTACCAATTTGGAAAACATTTCTGTGGCATTTCAGTCCAGATCTGGTTCTGTCTGTACACTGTTATAGTATCTACACTGTGAGTTTAAAAAGGGGATCTTTTTTCCTGAGTCACACGGTGCTATGGATTAAAATCTGTTTTCTCATTTGAGTATGGCGAGTTTAATAAATTAAAAATAAACCCAAATCTTACATATGTTACTTGTTACTTCCCTATAAGGCATGATGATACAGAGCAGTAGGCATGCAGTAGTTACTGATACCTGATAAAGTTACTCACTTGTTCGTATAATTTAATTTTGGTTATTGTTGGCAAAGCTTTAACCCTCTCTGCCTTCTCTCGCCACAAATAGCTGCTTAACATTATGGAAGTTCAGTGATCTCAGTTTCAGGAGATAGATAAATAACCTTTTGTTCTCTCACACTGTGCTTAGACTAGGAAAACATAATATGGTAGTCCTGCAACCCTTCCTGGTGGAAACAGAGTGTGTTTCAACATAGAAATGTTATTGCCAGCGTGGTCTTCGAGACGAAGATAAATGAATTGTCCAGTGAAAGCGCTGATGCCAGCATAATTTAATTTCCACTGGGGCTATTGTCAGTACCAAGTTATTAAAAATAAATATATTGCATCTCATACCAGCAGTATTACATTAGAGGAAAAAATTGCTATAGATTTGGCTGGACCAGAGAAAAGAAAAGCTCACAAGGGAACGGGAGGAAAAAATGAGCAAGGTAAAGGGGGAGGAAGAATGGCATAAGAACGTTGTTTGTGCTACATTGACAACCCACGTTGTCCAGTAAGAATTATGTGGGATACTGCTTGACTGCTGCCTGCTCCTTCTTTACTCCTGTTGCCTTATTTCCCACAGCTTTTCCTTTCTCCTTGTCCTGTGGAGGGTTAGCTCTAGAAAGTGTGCAGAGCGGCTCATGCATGGCACTGTTCCATCCAGTCGCTCCCTGGCTTCCTTTCACATGCAAGGCCTCTTGCATTGAATTCAGAGAAAGATTGACTTTATCTAGCTAAGGTCAGTCTTTCCATTCCCATAGGCTAGTTTACTAATCAAATGCTGTTTTATCTCTTAAAATAATTGAAAGATTGAAAACACCAGTATTTTTCTCCCTTGCTTCCTGGATGATTTTTAGCTGGTTTTTCCCCTTTACATTTTTGCTTGGCATCAGAATGGTTCTTACATAACAAAAATAATACATTTGTAACGTGGATAAAGTGTCACTTACAAAATAAGGATAGACTGTTTATCCCAAATGAAGAGCAAGCATTTCTCCACACACACACACACACTGCAGTAGAATAAATTAAGCTTTCGTGAAAATGATGGTATTTTCAAGAAATCAGTTGGCAAGATTTCCTTCTATCATTTGAGAAGAATATAGAACAAAAATTGTAGGGGTTTTTGTGCATAATACTTTCTGTGGGTTTCAAAAACACTTGCATCATTACACTAGTAGCATTTGTTAAATTGAAAATTATATGCACAGGCTTACATTTTAAAAAGGATTCTGTATACGTAGCAAACCTTAGCACATTTTGTGTGAAGAAATGACATTTACAGAATCCTGTCTCCCTAGCCTGGCTACACTTACGGGCTAGTTTAAAATCTGTGAAACACTAGGTTTCTTTGCACTTACAGCAAATATTTCATGTGTTTCAAGGATGGGTCTTAAAAAGCTGTAATTCTCTATTTCTTTTTTTACTTTCACTCTAGGGTTGTAGCAGAAAAGGTGAAAGAAGTACTGTATACACGACCTAGGAAATACATCCACTGTTCCAGCCAAGAGCCCACAGAACCAGGTTACATCAACATTTTGGAACTGGCAGAATCTGTGTGTCGCTATGACTTGGATGACATGGACATCTTTTGGCTTCAGGAGCTAAATGAAGAGCTTACAGAAATGGGTAATTTCACAACACATTCTAATTTTAAAAGCAGCAGTTAATTTCTGCTGTTTGAGTTGTAGTCTGCTGTGTGAGATCTCTTAAAGATCGCGGAATGAGAATTGAATGGAAATGCTAAGAAAAACAGGAGGGTAAAAATGCTTAAAATAATTACTTGCTCGATCGGTTAATGTTTTATATGTTACCTGTTGTGCCTAAAAACTTATTCACATCCAAAATCATGTGCAACTTCTGCAGTCTGAGGCAGGAGAGAAAAAGCCCATACCAGGTGCAATTAATTTTAGGACTTCAAAAGTTAAAAATTTTGTGTAGGAAAAGCAGATGTTTCCATGTCTTAAACTTGAACATATTATTGCTACAAATTCAGAGTTCTGAGGAGCTTGCGTGCTGGGTTCTTAAAAGAGTAATTAAGTTTCACACATGTTAGCCCGTTTAAAATCAGCGAAGTAAACTTCCTTTTTTCCATGCAAGTTATGGGTATAGAGGGCTATGAGGGGGACTGAGCTATGGAAAATAATCTTGGAATTATCACTGGAATAACTGAGTTGTGGTGGAATAGCCTGTGTGGCTGGCATTCTTCCATGGATGATTGCAGGTCCTTTAGGAAGGACAAGTGGGCAAAAGAGGGAGATACTTGTCATCTCCTGGATTTGCTGTTCACAAACAAGGAAGAACCTGTAGGGATGTGATTATCGATGGCAGCATTGGCTGTAGTAGCTATGAAATAGTGGTGACTGAGATCCTGAGGGGAGTGAGGAAAGGAAGTAGCCTTCTCGTCCTGGACTTTAGGAGAGCGGGTTTCTACTTATTTGGGTAACTGGGAGGTGGGATCTGGTAGGCAGCTCTGAAGAGTGGAACTGCTGAAGAGAGCTAGCCCCTGACATTAAGGACAGTCTCCTCCAAGCACAAGAAAGATCCATCCGGACATTCAGGAAAACAAGTGGGTGTGTCAGGAGACCGGCTTGGTGAAGGAAGGAACTCATGACTGAGCTCCAGTGCCAAAGGATGTATGTCAGGGGTAGAAGCAAGGACAAGCTTCACAGGGATGCTGTTAGCAAAACCAGAGCTTTTCTGGGGGCAGATCTCCATCCATGGACATTTTCAAGATCTGACTAGACATATCTCTTGAGCAACAGCCTTGTCCAGGTTCACTGTTGACTCTGCTTGGAGCCAGGGATTAGGCTGGAGCCCTCTGAAGGTCCCTTCCCACCGGAATGGTTCTGTAATGCTTTTAATTCAGGGAGTGAGAAAATACTCAGGCATCGGAGAGAACAGTTTAATAGCAGAAGACGCTTTTTATCAGCAGTCATTTATCTTTTCCATCTCCCTGTTTAACGGTTGCAACAAGGAATTCAAATTAGTAGCCATATTCTTGTGCATAGTCCAGCAGTTAAACTGTTAGCCTCTGATATTAATACTACATGAATATCCCAACCTTTGAAGGTCTGAGTAAATAGTGAATTATGGGCAGCAGCAGCATTTTTGACTGAGGATTTTGAGAGGATGCAGTTTGGGAATTTCTTGTAGCTGTGACCATAGTAGAGTTTCTTATGCAGTGTATGTCCTGAAGCTGCAAGCTGAGGACCACCTTTTTAAGTGGTTCTGCTTATGCTAAGTTTGATTAGTGGTAAGTGTATATAGCATGTGTAGTGTTCAAGTGAACAGACAGTATGGATTGCCAACAGTATATTTATCTACTATTTTTTTAAAAAAAACCAACAAAACAATAAAAGCACTTTTCATATCCATCGTGCTGATCACTCTAGTAGTGTACTGGATGGTACTGGGTGGTGGCAACTTCTGTATCTGTCGTGGTTTAACCCCAGTTGGCAACTGAGCACCACGCAGCCACTCGCTCACCCCCCCCCCCCCAGTGGGATGGGGGAGAGGATCGGAAGGGTAAGAGTGAGAAAACTCGTGGGTTGAGATAAAAACAGTTTAATAGGTAGAGCAACAGTCACGCACGCAAGCAAAGCAAAACAAAGGAATTCATTCACTACTTCCCATGGGCAGGCAGGGGTTCAGCCATCTCCAGGAAAGCAGGGCTCCCTCACGCGTAACAGTTACTTGGGAAGACAACCAGCACCACTCCAAACGTCCCCTCCTTCCTTCTTCTTCCCCCAGCTTTTATACTGAGCATGATGTCACGTGGTATGGAATGTCACACGGTATGGAATATCCCATTGGCCAGTTTGGGTCGGCTGTCCTGGCTGTGCCCCCTCCCAGCTTCTTGTGTCCCTCCAGCCTTCTCAGTTGGTAGAGCATGGGAAGTTGGAAAGTCCTTGACTAGTATAAACACTACCTAGCAATAACCGAAAACATCAATGTGTTATCAACATTGTTCTCACCCTAAATCCAAAACACAGCACTGTACCAGCTACTAGGAAGGAAATTAACTCTGTCCCTGCTGAAACCAGGACAGTATCTTTATAAGTTCTAAAGTGTTCTTGATGAGTTTTATTTCCTAGGGAGTTAGTCTTCAGGAGAACATTGTGTGTAATTTTCAAGGAACATTGTGTGTTAATTTTGGATGTCATTAGTGTTTCTTAAAGTGATGGAGGAGGAGGGAGGGTTGTATGGGAGCAATATGTATGGGAGACAGAAACTGCTGTCTGTCTTTTATGCTGTAGTGTTTTCTTCAAGGAGCAGTCTTGTGTTTTATATACAACTTAAACTTTTACGCCAGTAGTAGTTCTTGTATTTATAAGATAACGCTACAATTAGCCAGTGAGTGAAAAAGGTTTTATATTTTTATTTTATTTTTTTATTTTTAGTATGTGTCTACTGTGTCTACTGCTTTAGTTGCTAGAAGTTGTCCTTCTCTCTTCCTGCATCTCGAACTCGGTCAGAGGCACCTGACTGTCCTGTAATTCCCCTTCCCTATTCTTTGTTGCAGGTTGCGGGCCCCTGGATGAAAACACAATGGAAAAGACAATTGAAGTGCTGGAACGGCACTGTCATGAGAACATGAATCACGCTATTGAGACTGAAGAAGGATTGGGTATTGAATATGATGAAGACGTCATCTGTGATGTGTGCCGGTCCCCTGACAGTGAAGATGGGAATGACATGGTGTTTTGTGACAAGTGTAATATCTGTGTCCATCAGGTTAGTGCCTGCAGAAATGTTGACGCTGTCCTGTGTTCTTAGTTTACCGTGGCAAGTGTGGAATTTGAACTAGTATTAAATGTTAATTTGGAGGGCTTTGATTTTCTAGGCATGAAGAGTGGTACAATACTAAGTTGAATTTTTGTACCCTGACAGTTGCAGTAGATTAAGTGGCCTAGCATGGTAAATATGTGGACGTCTACAGTCTAATAGGAACATGAAGTGTGTTCTTGGGACTTGCAAGTACTTTTTCTGTGACCATAAACAATTTTTCCGCTATTATTAAACCTGCTTTTGAAGATAGACAGAGCAGGAAATGCTGGCTTGCCCTACATGTGAAGAATCTAAAGATCATTTGTTTGAGAGCTGGGGTTTTTCCTCCTTGACTGTCTAGTTAATTGGCCAGATGCAGGCTGTCCAAATTTAGCTATCTGAAACCACATGTAGGCACTTTAACAGACTGATCTTTTATAGAAGGCACAAGCACCTGCAATAACCGTGCTCTCAGTCTGAACATTGCTCACGTTTATAGCATTTCAGATGTAGCCAAGACTTTACACTGACTGAGCTCAGCGTAGTCAGGCAGAGGTATCCTTAGAGTCAAAAAAGGGATATGAATCCTGTGGTTTCCGTGTGTCCTGTTCTGGAAGGGGTTTTTGCTATGAATTGAAAAGAGACTAAGAAGGTTTTTTTTTAAAATGTATTTTTGTACCGACTGCAAGTAATACTCGGAAAACGTATCTGGCTGAAAAAGGACCTGTCATCTCCCTGCTCACAGTGGGCTGGCTTCCAGCCCGGCTGCTTTTCTGATCTGATTCACTGCGTGAAGCAGCCACGTGAGCCTGAGTGCCAGTAACACGGCCAGTGACAGGAATACGGCCAGCAGCTGGGCCGCCTGCTTCAGCCCCTGCTTGTGCCTGTTCAAAAGTAATGATGAATTTGCAGTCGGAGGCTTGTGGTTGCCTGCTGACAGCTGAGCTTGAGCTGGTGACCTGCTGCCTCCTTCCTCCTGACCCTTCCCCATTCTGGACCTGCCTGAAACAAACTGGGGAGTGTGTCTGGGCTAGAGCTAATCCTAACAAAAACAACAAAAAAACCATTCTGTTTTTAATCTGGATCGGCCCTGGTTCACCACATAGCCTCAGGTCTGTTTGCTTGTCATCACACAGTTTGGAGGTGGGGGGTAGGAGGAGTGCGAGAGATTTCCTCCTTCATGGTGTCCTCTCGTGGCAGCTCCAAGACACTGTGAAATTACTGGTTTAGTAGTCTAGGCCTCCTCCACTCATTAGTTGGATTAAATTAGAAAATAGTTTCAGTCCATTTCCAACCACCTAAATGTGATCTTAGGTGTAATGCCTCTTCTGCATTAATAATAGAAAGAATGCTGGTGGGAGCGTGCCACATAAGAGGGAAAAAAAACACTTGTAAAATTTAGATTACAGCTCCCCCTGTTGGGTTTTTACAACGGTCATCACATCAAAATAGCGTTTAGGTTAGTCAGGCTTGGTGTTTCCATAAAGCAGGATTTAATTCAGGAAAGTCCCCATCTCTACAGGCCTGATATAAATGTGCAATGTTTTATGATACCGCTTCATATTAAATACTGAGATCTTATAATCAGAAGGCTGGGAAGGCAAGTGTGGGAATTTTATACTAGATTTGAATCTGAAAGACTGGTTACAGGTAATGATCCTGTTCTGTTGAGGCTTTCAATGTTACTGTTCCCAGAGACGGTGTTAGGAATGGTGGGATTTCCTCTGAAAGCCATCCTTTTGATAAAGCTTTTATCTGGAACAGCTGAGTGGAATTAGACCTTGGTGGCAGCCAAGGGTTTCAGATACACTCAGCTTTAATATGCGTGTATGTATGTACAGCAGGATATATCTAGGTACACGTGTAGTTAGCCATTAAGAACTGCTAGGAATTAGAATCAGAAAGCAGACTAATTTTTTTCTTTTTCCGCTTTGTTTTTAATTCTCAAACCTAGCAAAACTTAAGAAATTTCTCATTTTCTGAGGGGTTAAGTGCAATACTCGGGAAATAGGCATAAAACCCAGCACCTCATAATTTCAGTATATGCCATAATTTTTGTTGCAATGTCATATAAATATTTAAAGTAACAAACAATTCACAGAACTGTAACCAGAAAGGTAATTTAATATTGCAGGAAACGGTCTTCAGTCAAACAGCTCATATCCCTTCACATCTAAACAGAATTATGTTAGAGTATACAGTTATTAGTGGTAGGAAATGGTGATTTTAAAAAGGGTTAGATGCAGAAGCTAATTTAAAGAAATGTCTACGTTTTTTGCTTCAGAAATTTAAAAGTCGCTAAAAGGAAAGATGAAGGTTCTTAACACCAGTGGTGGCGTGCTGTCACAATGGGTATGTTTTACACTATAAACAAATAATACCAGCACACATTTTAAAAAGAAACCGGCATAAAAAGACTTTGCTTTAGAAGCTGTTTATCTCTTTGATCACTTGACTTGTTTTAAGGTAAAGAAATTAGAGAAGGATTAAATAAAGGCCAAACTGTGCCTTTAGTATTTGAAAGATTTGGTCCATATGAATTTTAATGCTTGTGTGTGAAATCATATCAGCTCAATGATCTCAATACCTGTTTTCCTCCAAGGCATGCTATGGGATCTTAAAAGTACCCGAAGGGAGCTGGCTGTGTCGCACCTGCGTCCTGGGAATACATCCTCAGTGTCTCCTGTGTCCCAAAAGAGGAGGTGCCATGAAAGCTACTAGGACGGGGACCAAGTGGGCACATGTGAGCTGTGCTTTATGGATTCCAGAGGTAAAAATTTCTGCCTGCCTCTTTTGTATCGTAGACTCTTCTCTGTCCTCCTCCTTCTCATTCCCTCTTCTGCCTTTTTATGTTCTCATGATTTAAGGTGTCTGTCTGGCTTAATACCAGACTTTATTCTGATGAGTCTGCACAGTCTGTGGGGACTGGGAGAGAGTCCAGTTTATGTTTCATTAATTAATCACTTTGTTCCCTCCATTTACTCAGCAGTCACTTCTCGGTGTCATTATGGTATCTGAGTGACCTGCTAGAAAGGGTTACTGATGTAAGCTAGTGTTCACTGTACAACTGCAGCTTCATTGTCTCTCTTATTTTCTGATTAATTTGTGTGCTCAGTTAGGTGTATAATTTGCATGCATATATCCACTCTCTCCCCCCACCCCCCTCAAAAAAAAAAAAAAAAAAGAACCCCTCCTATTGCATTATTTGTGTAGGATGGACTCTAAGATTTGTAGTTAAGGGGTTTTTTGAACGAAATTTTTTCTAAATGGTGGGGAGATGAGGCTTTTTATCTACTATGTTATATTTTATAAGTAAAGGCTTTTTTGGTACATCTGTGCATACATAATGGAGAGTTTAATAATGAAGCTTTACACTTATTCATCTATTTTGAATCAAGTTTAACATCACATTATAATTCTGTAAATCAGAATGTGCACTCGTGTATAGGTGGGGTTTGTGTTTAACTTTGTACTTGGAATACTTCTGTTTTCCTTCTGGTAAGATCCACAGATCCATTACGGTGGGTGGTTTAATGTGAGGTGGTAGCCAGATCTGTCAGCACCATGACATTAGGGGGATGGATGCCTTATTTTCTGAACCTACTGCTCCCCAGCACAGCCAGGCCTCACGTTTGCAAAACTTTGAGGAAGACGTTAAGATTCTGGGTATTTTTTTTAACATAGCAACCAGATGCAATGTGTAATTCCTCGCTCTGTCTCAGGCATATATCTGTTTTTCAGGGAGGTTATCTTTGCAGTTGCACTTTTCTTTCAGGCTTGCTTGTAGTTCCTGGCATCTCTTCCACCTTTAAGGAGAGAGGAGTTGAGAAAAAAATAAAAGATTTATTTTAAAATTTAAAAAAAAAAAAAAAATCTCCTGACCTTTCCTCCTGTACTTACGAAGTGTCTTGGCTGGAAGCTCTCCTGGCTCTGAGGAGACTGGTTTTCCTAAGAGATCCTTTCTGCATGTGGTTGCCTTGATGGTCTCGCCAGCAGAAGAAGAACTGGCAGGTTTGGGAAGCAGGTGATGGCAGGGCAGGAAGCACACGCTGCCTTCCCGCCTGCCCACCTCCCTCCAACTGAGGGAGAGAAGCTGCCGGGGGAGCACCCAGGTGGGAGAGCTCAAATCCGGCTGCTCCCACAACCCATTTGGTGGCTCCAGGCCTCTCCAGGCCTCAGGCACCTCATCCCCTCCACACCAATGCCAAGTGTGTCAAGGTATAGCAAGGAGGTGACACCTGCCAGTAGGGGCAGGAAATGCCTCTTGGATCCATCCTCTCTCTCTGTCTCCTGCATTGTCACTTGTAAAACAATTCAGTCACTGGAGAAACCAGAGAAACCTTTGGGAATCTCTGCTAAAATGGCAGGTCAGTTCCTGTCTGGAGTCACTGTGGCCTTACGTGCTGCGGGGGCCAAGAAAAATGCAGAGTTTGAAAACCTGGGGATGGATACTTTGGGGGGGAATGTGTATTCTCGTATACCTATTTTTCTTCTCCCCAAGATAGTAGCACACTAGAACTTCCCAAAAAGAAACAGATGAATTATAAAGTCACTGCCATTTCCTCTTGTGGCCCTAATAAAATGGAGCAAGGCAGAATGCAGAGAGGAATGGGCTATAAACATGTCTGTGCCTTGTGGTAAAAGGTTCGAAGAGAGGGACTTCATGAGTCACCAAGTATAGGCTAGCATTGTTGCAGGTAATTGCACCAGGTATTTTCCTTCATTAACTCATTCACCACTGTCTTAAAATGTTTTTTCTTCCCTCCCTTGTGAGCTAATGCTGTCAAAAGGCTTTCTTGACCCTCACTTGACTGATTGGGATGTTTGAAGGTTTTTACTTTCCAAAGTGTACCTATTGTTGGTTTATATCTTTTTATTCTTCTGCCTTTATTGTCTTTTACTGTAAATGTGTAGTCTATTTCATGTTTTCTTAAAAGACATTCTTTTAACAAAATAAAAAAAAAGGAAACACCGAGACCAGAAAACTTACACCGAGTGTTTTGAAATTCAAGGTCCTTCTCTGCCTTAGATAACCCATTATAGTTACGTCCTCCTTCAATCAATGTGGTGTTAGCTGAAGCAGAAAGTTATTTTTCCTTGCTACAACTGGAAGGATATCAAATTGACTATCCTTAGCTGCTGTTGTGTGTGGCTGTGCCCCAGCCACTGGGCTGCCCTTCCCAGCCACCAACGCATCTAGATCATTGTGCACTCATGCAGCTGCTGGTGGCAGGTTAGCAGAGGACGGCAGGGTGACAACTGAGATGGCAGCTCATGTGCATAACAGTTGCAGAGAAGAGGCTTCAACAGCCCATTGTCTTCACTCTCTCCCACTCTTAAAACTTCTTCAGAGTACAGCAGTCAAAATGTAACCTGACACAAAGTGAAGAAATAAGGGAGAAAAAAGCTACATGTTACGGCAGATGTATCATTTCTGCCTTGGGATGGGAGGAATGAAAAGGTTGGCGTCTCCGCTCTCTGGATCCTTCATGAGCAGCGAAGTTCAAACAGACTTTGCCTTGACTCCTCTCTTTGAATATCAGAAACATGCAGGCAGCATGAGGCCAGTATAAATAAATTGCACCTGACTCTGTAAGCACCTCTTTGTACTTTTACAAAGTGGGGTAATATAAACAGGCAGCGTTACAAGCTGAATGGACAGCATTTCCAACATAAATGTTTCCTGACCTTATGAGTCCTCTCTGGGGAAGTAGCAGGGAGAGCATTAAAAGGGGCAGAGAGGGACAGGGAGACGGTCTGTGTAGATTCCCAGCTCCTGCTGGGAAGCATGGTGGAAAGCTGGTATTACTCAGTCTCCAGAAAAATTCACTGAAGATTCTGGTTTCTTTTTGAAAGGAATATAGACAACCTGACAAGTTGATATAATCCCTTAATTCCCAAAGGAAGTCTTGCCTTTTAGTGTAGTGGTAACTGGGATGAGAATTGCAGTCAATCTTTGTACAGTATTGTTTCAGAAATACTTGTGCAACTTGTAACCAGCTCTGTTTTGAGCAAGGTCAAGTTAGGTTGATGAAAGGCTCTTTCATTGTGGAAGCAAAAAAGCTGCATTTGATGATGTTTAAGAGTGCTGGACGTGATTTTGTGGAACCATTCAAGTGTTTCAGGGACAGCTTTGTCACTTACCCACCAATTTATAGGAAGGCCAAACAGATTAAATTGTTTGTCATCTCTACCTGATGAGGGCATCACATATTGCCTGCCTATTCTCCTTCTTGTCTGGTAAAAACTGGACCCTCTCTGTCCTAATGAAGACTTCTGGAAATGCCATGCAGCAGGTTGACCTCAGTATATTCCAGAAGATATGGCTTGCAGTTGGGGGACCAGAGGGTGAAGTACTATAACAAATATAAATCTTATTAGAGTCAATTTATATCATTAATTCATGAACTGCTGATCAACTTTTTTAAATGTGGAAATGATGAACCAACTCATCTCTTGCAAAGCTGTTTTTTCTACCTACTTAAATGATCCTTAGAGCAATGCAATGATAAGGAGAGAGTAGCAAAAATACCCAGTTTGAGCATAGCAACTATGACTCTCGGACTTGATTGACTTAGCACTGCTATATTTGGATAAGTCTACCTCACAGAGGAGGTCTGCTGAAACAACACCTTTTCTTCTCAGGGATTAAGCAGGTTTTAAAACGAATATGTGCATCAAGTGATTGTTGATGTACCCCAAAAGGGAAGCTAGAAAATTCAGTTTAGGCTACTGGCTCTTGTAAAGTCAACGGTTTAATTATCACATGTTAAACTAATTCATATAACCTGGATTTCCATAGGAGAGTCTTATTATGGAGGTAATCTATGAAAACTACTGTAGCATAATGCTCTTAAAGCTTTCTAGGAAAAAAAATTGCTGTTCAAATCTCAACCTTAACTGATTTCTTAAGGAATCAGCTTTATTCTGGCCTCACAGTGCCACAGAGCATGAGCTAGGAACCTTCTTCCTTTGAATTCTTAGATCTGACCCCTTTGAGAAGAGGCCCCTATCCCACCACTGGAAATACAGGTCTGCTCTGTTCAGGTGAATTGTTCACAGAAAGTGTGGAGATGTTTCTAGCTAGAATCAGCATTGTATTTCTGGTTCAGGCAGGTAGCCCTCCAAAGCACACAACTGCTAAATCCAAAAAGTGCTATGTAAGCATCAAAATCCAAGCTTTTGGAGACTGGCATTCTTGGGACAGAACAATTGTGTCGCTGAAATCTTCTGCCATGTGCCATTCTCATACTGGCCCAGCTCTGCATGTTGGTCATTCAGAGCTGGCCAACTTTCTGTTTCAGCCCTTGGATGAAGCCTGTCTGTCAGGAGTGGCTCAGGGATGCCTACAGAGATAATTTATGTCTGTTTTGGTGTTCAAATTATGGAAGACAGTCCTTGTCTCCCAGTATGGACAACAGGCAGCTGAGAAATTTCTATCACAGTGGATATGTGGACGTTAGTATAACAAAGAACAGGAAAAGGTATCCTGTGCTTATCTGAATTTTTTTCTTTCTTTTAGTATTAATATCCATAATCTGGTCTACCAGAGACAAATGGATCATGCAGACTAAGTATGTGAAAACTGGCACAAGAGAATATGCCATGCTTTGTAGTAAGAGAAGTTTGTTGTATTCTTTCTCAAATTATACTTCATACAATCTGTAGTTAGGAAAGTGTATTAGAATCACCTCTTGCATTAGGAGCACTCAGTGGAGAGGCAGAGCTGGGAAGCAACGCTTTCCCTGGCTGCTGACTGATAGATCTGGTTCTGCCCCAAACTGTGAGCTGTCAGAAGTAGCTATTGTAGCAGATCTGTGGATCTTAAAGAAGGAACTTTTCAGGTAAGTATGAGTAAGTGTTCCTATTTTGTTCATAGTAGCTTGTATTTTGGTACTTTTTAAGTTAGACCTGTTAAAGCAGCACAGAAAAAAAACCAGAATGGAAAGGAAATAAACTTAAGCATAATTTACTGTGGTCTCTCAACTGGTTCATAACAAGGCACGCTGTAGATGCCTCAAATGTTTTGGAAAATTGCAACTTCTAGCCACCAGGTTAAACTAGTAGTATTCCACAATATTGTTTTCATGTGGGATCTTTTAGGGTCCCTGGCTAAGAAGTATGAGCACATGGAGATCTCACAGCGCGATAAATGTGTGGTCATATTTCTTCTTCTGGTATTACTGGAGAGCTTGTTTTTATTGCCTTGATAACTGCTTTCCATGCTGTTTTTTTGTTTACAGGTTAGTATTGCTTGCCCAGAAAGGATGGAGCCAATCACAAAGGTGTCTCACATTCCACCAAGTCGATGGGCTCTAGTGTGTAGTTTATGCAAACTGAAAACTGGTGCTTGCATTCAGGTACGTACTTGTCCTGCAGTAACTCTTGAGTCTGTGTGAGAAGGGCAATTTCAGTTTTGCATTTTGTTCTTCCTGTGTTCAGAGATGCTTTACAATGCAGATGACCACTGGATAGATGGCTACTTCTTCATAGCTTTTTGCTATCAAATTAGTTCACTAGCACAGAGATTTAGGAGTTAGTCTGAGTTGCCTTCTTTTGAGTAAGGTTAAGATGTGTAAGGACTGCTACTATGTGGGTCAGAGATGGATAGAAAGGTCCTTCCGTTGAACACTGTTCACAAATGAGAAAATACTAAATCGGGTGACACCAACTTCAGAGAGATCAACAGGTATTTTTAAGAATGCTTAGGAAATATGTTTTTGTAGGGATGGACTTTTATGTAATTAAGATAATTCTGTCCTTTTTTCTGGTTTGTTGCTGTTAGTGATTGAGGTTTTTTGTTTTCTTTTGTCTGTAGTGCTCTGTGAAAAGCTGTATCACTGCCTTTCATGTCACCTGTGCCTTTGAGCATAGCTTAGAGATGAAGACTATCCTGGATGACGGGGATGAGGTCAAGTTCAAGTCATATTGTCTAAAGCACAGCAAGAACAAACAAAATTCGCTGCCTGACATTGATGAGCACCCCAAGAGCGTGTCAGACCAGAAGCAAACAGAGAGCGAGAAAACCAGTTTGCGAGCCCAGAAACTCCGAGAGCTGGAAGAAGAGTTTTACTCACTAGTTAAAGTGGAGGATGTTGCAGCAGAGCTGGGCCTTCCTAAACTTGCTGTAGACTTCATCTACAATTACTGGAAATTAAAGCGAAAAAGTAACTTTAACAAACCATTGTTTCCTCCCAAGGAGGATGAAGAAAATGGCTTGGTGCAGCCAAAGGAAGATAGCATTCATACTCGCATGAGGATGTTCATGCATTTGAGGCAGGACCTAGAGAGGGTAAGAGCTTAACTGGTAAAGTTCTGAAAAACTGTTTGCAGGTGAGGAAGGTCTTTGTTCATGGACAAAAGTAGGAATGGGGGAAGCACAGGGAGGTGATTATTAAAAAAAAAAAAAAAAAAAAAAAATAGTAAGGCCTTCAACTCCAGTCTTTTGGTGTGCTGCATTGCCTGCTGCAGAAACTTTCAGGAACTGTCCCTTCTCAGTCTAGTGAGAGATCCAATGTGAAAGGAGTGCTTCCTGACCTGCTTAGAGGTTATTCCTTTATGTATTTTAAGATGCATGTTTCTATGCACAATGGACATATTTGCTAATTGACTCTTTGATTTCAACTTCAATTGAGTAAATGTTTAAAAAAATTGAGTAAATTTATTTGACCCAGCTGTAGTAGTTGCTAGTGGTACAGATTCAATAACAAAAAATGTTTCGTTATTAAACGAAAGCAAGTGCAAACAGCGAAGGAATGGGGCGGGCTTTACAAGTTCTTATCTTCCACCTTCTGTCTTGGGACGGAGGGACTCTTGATTTGTACTTAAAAAGGTGTTTTGTAATGGTTATAATAGAATGGTAAATATTAGCCAATTCTGGGTTTGGAAAAATCAGTTTGCATAGGTAAAGCAGTAAGTATTCTTTGGTGAGTGTGCATTAAGCTTTTGGAGAATCCTAAAAATATATTAAAGCAGAGCTTCTCACCCTCATGGTTTGAAGGCAAGTAGGTGAAGTCCTAGATGGTTAACTTCCACGGTGACTTTATGGCTCTGCACACACAGAAGAATGCTGGCCTGTACTCATACCACTTCCCGTGACATCTGAGCCAGGAGTCTTACCTCTCTTCCTGGCCAGCATGCTGGTGTCAGCTAGTCCCAGGTAGCGGGCAGGCTGAATCGCTTGTTGCTGTCTTGACTTAGATGCTTTCACTGCACGTAGCTGCCTTAGGTGCTACGGTTGGTTGGCGGTCTGAAAATAACCCACTGAGCCTACCACTGCTTGTGGCTTTACTGAGAAGGAGGAAAAGGAAATTATCTTTTTATCAGTAGCTAGGTGGGCTCTTATCAGATTGCCAGCTAGCTGGTAGTTTGAAAAGATGGAGTCCTTCAGCAAAATTCAGAGCAGGAATTTATTAGGAAGGCATATGTAGTGCCTTTTTCCAGCAGCTGATGGGAGAGGAAGCCAGGCTTGTTACCACTCGGAGGCTGCCCATTAGATTGGCCCGTTAGCTAGTGATCACCTGCAGTTTTCAAGTGCTAAGAGATAGGCAGTGAATGTAAAAAAAGGTAACAAAATAAAGTAGGTGTACTAAATGTGATATGGAGACGAGACATTGGAGAAGAGGGGAAGGGAAAACAGAAGAGAGAAAATAGTGTTGTAAGAAAAGGGAAAACCATATTGGGAAGAGAAGAGCATGAAAATACAGGGAGATGAGTGTCGGAGCTGAGATTTGTGCTTGTCAGTCTAACTGTTGTCTTGAATCTAGTCATAATCAAGCTCAGACCTCCTTTTCCAGGAGCACTTTGGATACGGATCCTTATTTTTAAAAAAATCCATAACATGGCTTGAATGGAGGGTTGGGATTTTGGTGTATGGGTTTCTGGTTGTTTTTTTTTTTCTTTCTTTCAAGAAACCATTTCAAGCTTTTCCTTTTTCTTGACAAGTGGTTGATTTGCATCAAATTTTGTTAAAATTGATGTACTTATTTTGAGTGGAGGTACGTAACAACCCCATGCAACGCTACAGGCTTGGGGAAGAGTGGCTGGAAAGCTTCCTGGCGGAAAAGGACCTGGGGGTGCTGGTCGACAGCCGGCTGAACATGAGCCGGCAGTGTGCCCAGGCGGCCAAGAAGGCCAATGGCATCCTGGCCTGTATCAGAACTAGTGTGGCCAGCAGGACTAGGGAAGTGATCGTGCCCCTGTACTCGGCCCTGGTGAGGCTGCACCTCGAATACTGTGTTCAGTTTTGGGCCCCTCACTACAAGAAGGACGTTGAGATGTTGGAGCGTGTCCAGAGAAGGGCAACGAGGCTGGTGAGGGGTCTGGAGAACAAGTCTTCTGAGGAGCGGCTGAGGGAACTGGGGTTGTTTAGCCTGGAGAAAAGGAGGCTGAGGGGAGACCTCATCGCTCTCTACAACTCCCTGAAAGGAGGTTGTAGCGAGGTGGGTGTTGGTCTCTTCTCCCAAGTAACTGGCGAAAGGACGAGAGGAAATGGCCTCAAGTTGCTCCAGGGGAGGTTTAGTTTGGACATGAGGAAAAATGTCTTTACTGAAAGAGTGGTTAAACATTGGAACAGGCTGCCCAGGGAAGTGGTGGAGTCCCCATCCCTGGGGATAATTAAAAAAAGACATGTAGATGAAGTGCTTAGGGACATGGTTTAGTGGTGGACTTGGCAGTGTTAGGTTACGGTTGGACTTGATGACCTTAAAGGTCTTTTCCAACCTAAATGATTCTATGATTCTATACTTCGTACTTTGAAACAGCTGTCTCAAAGTTTCTGAACTTCCTGTGCCATGAGATTTTTCTGCGTTCATGTCTTGGGATGAAAATAAATTTGGGAATCTTGGAATTTCCTTTCTGGGGAGAGAGGTTCCAGTTCTGAACAGATGGAGTTGAGTGCTGGGGGAATTATATTTGGCAAATATCTTTCAACCAGCCCCTACACTGTTTCTGTGTTCTGAAATCTCTTTTAAGTGTTTATCAAGAACTTTCAGTGCCCCTTCCCGTTCTCATTACATTAGGTAGAAATATTGCTGTTAACTCAAATAGTGAAAGTAGAATTATGTGGAACCGAATCATAGAATCACAGAATGGTTGGGGTTTGCAGGGACCTTCAAAGATTACCTAGTCCAACCCCCTGCCATGGGCAGGGACATCTTCCACTAGACCAGGTTGCTCAAAGCCCCATCCAACCTGGCCTTGAACACTTCCAGGCATGGGGCATCTGCAGACTTCTCTGGGCAACCTGTTCCAGTGTCTCACCGCCCTCATTGTAAAAAATGTCTTCCTTATGCCCAATCTAAACCTACCCTATTTCAGTTTAAAACCATTGCCCCTTGTCCTGTCACTACAGGCCCTGGTCTCTCTCTGTCTTTCTTATAATCCCCTTTCATAAAATGAAAGGCCGCAATAAGGTCTCCCTGGAGCCTTCTCTTCTCCAGGCTGAACAACCCCAACTCTCTCAGCCTGTCCTCAGAGGAGAGGTGTTCCAACCCCCTGATCATCTTCGTGGCCCTCCTCTGGACCCGCTCCAACAGGTCCGTGTCCTTCTTATGCTGAGGGCTCCAGAGCCGGATGCAGTACTCCAGGTGGGGTCTCACCAGAGCAGAGTAGAGGGGCAGAATCACCTCCCTCGACCTGCTGGCCACGCTTCTTTTGATGCAGCCCAGGGTATGATTGGCCTTCTGGGCTGCGAGCGCACATTGCTGGCTCACGTCCAGCTTTTCATCCACCAGTACCCCCAAGTCCTTCTCGGCAGGGCTGCTCTCAAATCCATTCATCCCCCATGAATGGATGATGCACTGATCCTGGGGTTTGCCCCAACCCAGGTGCAGGACCTTGCACTTGGCCTTGTTAAACTTCATGAGTCAATGCAATGGAGTCGGAAAATAAACTGCTAAATGGGTCAGCCAAAATGTGTACATTGCACAGGAAGCCAGTGTGTTCTTTTAGAGGTGATCTACATGTTAGTTTTGGTCCAAACAGGCCGGCTTTCTTGGGTAGCTTTGTAAAAACTATTACTCTATAGTGTTGCAATAATTTTAGGGGAAACAAACATAGTGTAGCTGTTAAAAATCATTCTGTGAAACACTTTGCAGGGAAATTCTGGGAGAATCCAGTACTGTCTGCAGTAACATCCCCAGCATTGTACATAGTGGAAGCAGGCTTACAGACAAGCAAGTCTTAGAAATTACTTACTTTTCTTTTGACTGGAATTTTGTGTTCGCTCACTGTTCCTATAGATGAGAATATATTTTGCTGTCTTGCAGAATATATTCAAGGCATTCATTAAAGTGGCAATGAAAAAAATCCAGGTTATTTTTTTAATTCATAGTTACGTATGTTCAGTAACATTCACAAGAACTTTGCCAAGGGGTTTTGCACGTAATGTTGTTTTAATTCTGTTGTTGATGCACTTTTTAAACTATATCAGGATTTATTTTCTTATTGCCTATTAAGTCTCCTGTTATTCTTCCGTAGGTGAGAAATCTCTGCTATATGGTAAGCAGGAGAGAGAAACTGAAGTTGTCTCACAGTAAAGTACATGAACAGGTCTTCAATTTGCAGGTCCAGCTCATTAATCAGGAAATTGCTGCAGGTAATCTTATAAATGTAAAATATTTACAAATTCTGTCTGTATTTAAACTAAAAAATGTGTTCTCCTTATGTTCCTTCTTAGTGGTTTTAACATTGTAAATCTGCCTTTAAAAACTTTCAAGTACACACTCAACGAAAGTAGCAACATACACAAAATGCTTTAATCTCTTAAAATATTGACTTGGATATGTCTTTATTTTATGGCCGTTTGTGGTATATGCCTATTACTTATCAATCACTATGGCATCCAGATAGCAGAAACGAGCTGGTGGTGCTCTCTAGGTTTTCGCTTCCTTGGCTGCTGTTTTATGGTCCTGTTTCCCCACAGCAAGCTCTGCGCTGCTGCCTGGCTCTCCAGCTGAGAAGGTTTTTTGCTTGCTGTCAGTCGTTGGTTCCTTCAGGCGAAAGAGAAGAGTGACTAATAGGAATCACTGTTGTTCTCGTGTTGCCTTGCATGCTTGATGAACAGCGCAGAGAGGCATTTCTTAGCCTGCCATCTGCAGTTCCTCTCCTTCCTTCAAAAAGAGCTTAAGTACTCTCATTTTTAATAGTGAATAGTAACTGCGTAGGAATGCTGATGTACCAAAATCCACTCTGCCCTTCATTTTTATAGCGACCTTCTTGAAATAAGGAACACAACATTTAGAAAGAGGAAGAATATATATTATGGTGCAATTACTTTTTTTTTTTTAATAGGGAAGGCAGCTATTTCTTCAATGTGAAATTAAAATCCCTCTGCTCTTTCAAGATACATATTATGTTTTTCATGACCAATTTAGAGTGAAGTCTTCATGCTTTTTTCTCTACCCTTGAAACATGGATAGGTTTCATTAGTACTGACAAGGTGGTGTTTTTAAACTGTTTTAGATCAGACTAGTATTTTGTGGAAGCAGCAGTACTCTAAAGCACTTTGGTTTTGTGTAAATGCATTTTATTAGAAATGCCTACTAAATTTGTTTTATGTCTTTACAAATACAAGTGCCTTTTTAATGCTTATTAGAATAGCTTGACAGCTACTTTGCAATGGTGCTGTATGTGTATAATACCGTAAAGACTAATATATTGGGTTGAAAAGACTTCTAAAACGTAGAGAATTTTATAATACAAAGTAGAGAGTTGAACTAAGTCCAGATTGAAACTCAGTTTGAAGCATTGTTTTTTCTCCATCCAAAACTGAATATGAACCTTTTTTATAGCTGCTTTGGAACTACTTCAGTCATATCTCAAAACTGGCTCAGTTCACTGGCTTAAAGCCCTGTAAAAAGGGCACATTGTTGTTTTTAATGGAAATGCTAAAATGCTTACCTAAATTCTGAAACGGTGGATAATTTGGAACAGTTTTCTTTATCCCAACTTCTCTTTAATGTCCTAAAACAATTTCACACTAATTGTTTGCAAATGCCTCTTACTGTTGAATGACCTTCTAATGGACTATAAAACTTGTTACAGATAACAGAACGACTACCCTCTTTTAAAAAAAGCCTTTTTTTTTCTTCTGCCCCTTGTCTCTTTCTTCTGTAGGCCATACCCTGACAAGTGCACTAGAGAACACACTGTTCTACCCACCTCCCAGGATCACCCTGAAGTTAAAAATGCCCAAATCAGCACTAGGAGATTGCAAAAATAACTCACTGAAGCCTGGCAACAGACCGCTTTCTCCTGACAACAACAGCACTGTTTACAGCAAACGGAGCGTGCCGATGTCAAAGGAATCGTTTGAAATTAAAGCAAAATCTTACTCCAGGTATCAGCATGACAGCAGAAGTAACGGGTTGCTGGCAGGGATTGGCAAGCCTCGGGGCGAGGGGAAGGATTCCGGCCCCATGCAGATGCCGGAGTTTCACCGGGGCCAGCCGTCCGGGAAGCCCTTAGCACTCCAGGCTGCTTTGCACGGACAGGCTTCCATTGGGAACGGGCGGGTGCAGCAGGAGAACTCGAGGCTGGCGGCCAAGTCCAACGGTCTGATGGGCAGGGCTGGAGACGTGAGCCAGAGAGACAGCTCTAGCCAGACGCCCTACGAACAAGAGTCCGTGCTCACGGCTCACTTGGCCAGCCAGAGCGGTTTCAGAAAATCCACCATAGAACATTTTAGTCGGTCCTTTAAAGAGGCTACCAACAGCCTGGTGAGGACCACGGAAGATCTCCGGTGCTGTGAAAAGCCAACGAGAAGACTTGCAACAAAAGATCGCTTGTGGAGCAAGCAGACGCTTGAAGGTGCTCCGTACCAGGACAACGACGGGTACTGTCCTGACTTAGAGCTGAGTGACTCTGAAGCAGAAAGTGATGAAAACAAAGAGCAAGTGAGGCTAAGACGAAGTAGCTCAGAGAGAGAAAGCCCAAGTAAGGACTTTGGAAGAGATTGTCACAATAGAAACAAAAAGAATATGATTTCTCACAGTTCGGTACAAAGGTGATTAGAAGCCCCCACGGGGTAACTCAGCCTTTATGTATTCCAGTGTACCAGTGCAAAGCTCAGCATCAAAAGGTTCCAGAAGATAGTCCAGGACCTACGTTAGGAAGAGTTGCAGTAGGGGATGGGGGGAGGGGAGAGAAATCAGAGCAGTTTTGTTCAACTGTGAATTGGCTTGCAGTCTTTGCAAGGTCAGCTGCGTTGTTGCAAAGTCATGTGGAAATCGATGTGTTTTATTAGCGGGTAACATCTGGGAGAGCACGAAGCGGTTAACCTTTGCGTAAATTCAGGAAACTGCTTCCCCCTTGCCAGCTTACGCGCGAGGCAACGTGTTCATGTTATGTCGATCTTGTGGTGGTGGACAGGTATTGAAGAAGTCCTTGCATTGCTCTGATGTGTCGCAAGAGACTGCAAACGGAGACACTGAAACTGCATTCTTACGGCACCTGCAGTATGGCTTTGATCCAGCAACGCACTTGCGGGTGTGTTGGGAAGTTAAGCATGTGAAAAGTCCTGCTGGTTTCCCCCGGGAACGTTTGTGCTCAGATCTCCGAGCGCATGCCGGTGTGCTCTGCTGGATCAGGCCCAAAGTGACTACTAAGTGACGATCCTCTTCTGCAGGAGGCTCTGAACTGCAGTGGCGTTTGCAGGCTCCTTGCGGAGGTTGGAAGCAGGCGTCGCTGGCGCTGCCAAACTCGCTGACCTCTAGACGTGCCCCCGTTCCCTGCTCTTGCTGAAGGTTGTGTTTCTCTTCACAATAATTTGCTTATTTTGTAAATATACAACTTCTAGTACTTCAGTTTTTTTTTAATCTCTGTACATAGTTGCTTGTTGTGGGATGCACTTGTAAATATTTTACCCAGCTAACAAGTACAGATGGCTAATTTTGTGGATAGTGTTTACAAAAGTAGATGTACTACTTCAAAGAAAAATGCTATTTGACACTTAAATTTAGGCAATCACCGGTGATGCCAGGTTCCTCTTGAAACTGAGATTTCACGTCCAGAGGTGTTTGTACCTGGTATTTTTAAAATAAGCTGAATTAGAAATAATTTTGTCTGAACTCTTTGCAGGCACAAATTTTCAACCCTCGTTGCCTGAATACAGGCGTAGGAGCCTTATTTCTGGCATCTAGGTCTGTAAAATTTTAGCCAGTCGTCATTTGGAGTATGTTTTGTTGGGGGTTTTTAATTGCTGAAAATTTATTATCTTATTAAGCTGCTTTTCAACCTCTGGATCAGTTGCTGTTTCCCAAACTAACACTTTTTTGTGTGTCCTTTAAAATTAGCAGTTGTTAAGTAGTGATTAAATTTCAGCCGGTACCCAGGAAGCGAGAAGGGAGGGGAATCCTTTTCTGTTCGTTTCAGTGACAGGGGATTTTTGTTTGAATGCAAACAAACTTCATGTTTTCCAGATGGTGGTGTGTTGATCAACAAAGTAACTGCACTGTTTTTCTCTGAAATGCTGTACATTTCATAAATATGCAACATCCTCTGTCCCCATATCACTGGCTGAAACGGGCCGTAGGTTGTCCAGGGCACGTCATACGGCTCCTTTCTGCCGAGGGTTCATTTTGTCTAGAAACAAAAGGTGTTCCCCACCCAGCGTGAAGATGACTATGCAGAATCCAAACCACCACCTGTTTTTCTTCACAATCTTAATTTATTGCTTTTAGCTTGGGAAATGGCAATGACATTTTTGGATTTGTTTTAAACTTTGAAATCTCCCTAGTTGCAATAGGACTAGCAGCTCAGGGGCTGGAGGACTTTTCAGTAGTGAAATAAAAAAAAAGTATACTTGGCAATTCTGCTCTGTTTGCTTCATGCATCTTAATTTTTTTTTTTCCACTTCTTGATTTTATGTATATTTGTGTAATTGATCTTTCTAGAGCTGTATCTTCAAAATTATTTCTTTTGGTGTAAATACGCAGTAGCATTTTAGGTTTCCACATATTTTATTTTGATGGGAAATGCTTTGTGTTCTAAGCCATGGGTCATTCAGAATAAGTAAACAAATGTCTGTTCATTTGTATTCCGGTTCTGATTCTCTTAGTTCTCCTTCGATATTTATTAGTAATCCTCTCTCGCTGGCCATGAAATTTTATGAAGCTTGTATTGGGAACACTTATCTGGGAGGTCAGCAAAGCGTTCATGTTATTTTGTGGCCGGAAGCCTATGACAGAAGGGAGGGAAAATGGTGCTTCAGCAAAACTCAGTGTTTCTGCTCTTCTGGGGTTATTAATTCAGTTGTTTCCAGTCTGGGCAATGGTTTTGCTAATTTTTACATGATTTTAATAGATATATGAAGGAGCCCTTGGTTATGTAGTTCTCAAGTATTGTCCCTAAAGTGCATTTGCTAGTTTTTATTGTGTGTTCGGTGGCTAACTGTTTGAAGTATTACCTCTTAACCTTATTTGTCAATTTTTTTTGTGTGTTTTTGCATTTTGTTTTATATATATAAATATATATATATATTCAATTTTCCAAGATGGACTCGGTCTTTTTCAGATGTCCCCTTTTTACAAGTACTTTTTCATTAAATTATGAAACTGCTAACAGTATTTTCATTTGTTGTGATTTATTCAGGGCTTTACCCTCTGTGTCTGGCAAGTTGTTAAACTCATCAGTCTAACAGCAGTACTGTGTCCATCAGGAGTAAATTATTTCTGCAGAGTTGGCAATACTTTAACAAGTTGAAGTGTCGAGGAAAACCTTTCCCCTTCAGCCTCCCAAAAAAGAGTCGCTGAACAATAATTTGCTGTGTATAGCAAATGGTCCTAGCCTGGGTTTTGTTTCTGCCTAGCTGAGCAAATGTAACAGACCATTTGCTGCCCTGGCCTCACTTTTTAATATATTTGCTTATGCCTTAATATGACTGGTTTTCCCTGGTTGGACAAATTGAGTTACAGAGGAAGAGCCGTAGCCAGGCCTTCTGTCTCATCCCTCTTCTTGTACACTCGCACACACGCACAAATGAATACTTAACAGCCAGCTACTGCCGCGTGCGTGCAAAGGACGGATCAGTGCAAGCAAGTTCCCAGGTTGATGTTTTATGTCGGTTTTGCGTGACCTGTTGCTGTAGTTCCCCCTGCTCCCACAGGCCGGTGCTGTGATACACCTTGCCGGCAGAGAGGAGCTCCTCCCTGTGCCAGAGCAGGGGAGAAGGCAAAAAGGAGGAGGAAGATGCAGAGAGAGAAAGGAGCAGGTGTAGCTGCACAACCGATCCGATAGCGTCCCTCCTGCTCCGATCGGCTCGGTAGCTGG